TAAGTAATAGCCCTAATGCCCTCGATGACGAACAGCTCGGTCTCAAACTTAGTTACTGCGGTGGCGGGTAATACATCAGCACAGATGCAACAGACAAAAATCCCTACCCTACCTTAATAATAAGTCTATTAAGATATTTTGTATGCCCTGTCACTAAAACACCCTATAAGATTACTGATAAAAAATCAGTTTACTACTCCTGCAAGATGGGTTGCATAACTTCTGCACGAATAGTTGCCTAACTTTAAGTGAGCAAAGTAGATATGTTAATGAGACACCCTGTATAAAACGACACCCCTCGTGCTAAACGTTTTTCGAGTCAAATCGCGATGGGACTTTTAACATTTCATTTCGGGCTTAATTAATTGGGAGAATTCATTCCTGCAGAGGAGGCCATCAAAGAAGAAGGTGAAGCTAATAATTATTAATTAAAATACTCGAGACATAATCGGCAATTATAATCAATTCGACTCGTATTTAATTGTATAATTACGTTTCCAGTTTTTATCCAGATTTAATTAAATCTCATAATAAACGCCAATATATTTATTCAAATATGGCGAGTTTAGTTATGGAAGTAGGAGGAAAAAACTGGAACAAACTTGTCTGTTTCGGGCGATATTAAAAATCCATTAGACCGGTGGAGAGAAATATGTTACTGAATATGGCAGGCGGTTATATACCCGACACTTATTTTTTTTCCATCTGTCATTAATAAAATCCGGAGCGCGCTGCCCGAAGGGATGAAATTAGTGCCTCTCAGGATTTTGCGGGAGCGCTGTTAAACTTAATATCGACGTAAAAAAAAGGTCGAAAGTCAATTAATAACAGATATTCCTTTAGCGCGTTATTTAGCCGTCTGGCTTTGATTACTTTGTTCTTTTGCTCCGACCAGAAGGGCCGCGAGAAGTCGAATATATTCGGAGAAAGAAAGTTAATATGTCTTCGCTAAAGTTATGTGTAATTGTTCGGACGGTTCTCTTTTTTTTGCTCTACCGCCGACACAATTTCATTTCGAGCCGAGCGCTCGTAGAAAGTATAAAGATTAGGGGAAAATCAGAAGCGGGGCGAGTGGAAATATTACGGCAATAATTAAGTTCTCGCCGACTTTTGATGTAGAAAGGACAGTTTTTGGAGAGACGAGCGAAATTCCCTAGTCGCTTTCATTCCGACGAATCGAAATACACTCGTCAATTACGCCTAGTAGATTGACGCATTTTCTACCTGTCGCTAATGATTTTTTAATGAGAGGAAAAATTCGAACTCACAAATCATTTCTGGAACGTCCGAAATATTCATTTAAATTGTCACTAATAATACAACTGGAATTATTATACCTTTAGATGGTGAAAAATAGTCCACAAAGCATTCTTGAAAAATTTATGATGAATATAGTCATATTTGTAATGGTTGAAAAATAAATAAATCCTCTCCTGTCGGTTTTTTAGCTGCTGTATGGGCGAGCTGAGCTCTGGCCTAATCCCTGCGGAATAATAAAGTGTCGACGTTATCCAGATTGATACGATGTTTCAAGTCGATTGACGGAGCCAAAACCCAATGAAACCGTGATTCCGCATGAAATTTCAAAGATTTTTTTGAAATCATCCCACTTCTGAATTTACCTAGCCACCCACCTATATCGTTTTAATCCCGCTGAAATTCCGATATCATAATTTTACATAATCCATCACGCCGCAAGTATCCGTAATTCGCGAGAAAACAGAACGATGACGGCGACGCCGAGCGTCGTTTCGCGAAATAAAAAAAAAACAATAACGTCGAGAGCTCCTGCAAGCAACAGGATAATTCAATATTTGTCGTCGTTCATCAAAGGCTGTTTGCCAAACATGAATATGGCAGTATTACTCTCTTGCGTTAGCAAAAACAAAGAACTCCAATCATAGCTCGATTTATCCGGAGCTCTCCGGAGCTACCGGGCGTATTCCAATTTCTCAGGATCCGGCCCCTTGCTCCCGTTGTATTTACATTGTAAATATAACACGTCGATAAGCGAACGTCAAAGGGCCCGGAAATTTCGCATTACGCTAGCTATTCCAATATTAATAAATTCATTATGCTATATTAAATTTGTCAAGTAAGTATTATGCGAGTTGGTTTTTCGGATGGCCTTGTATTACTTGAGATTTTTTTTAATAAACGGCTCATAAACGATTGATGGAATTTTTAAGGCGCCCACGCTGAGTTCTTAAAGACCCCTCGAACGTGGGGGATAGGTGTTTTAATGGAACTCAGCGGGCCCCGCCGGGTAATCCGTAAATTGTCCGGACAAGCGGAACTTCATTTACGCCATTTTTGTCGGGCTCTAACTTTTCTCTTAAATACGTTAGATTCTACTTGGAGAAAGTTTTTTATTAATATTTATACGAGTAAGGGAATATCCGCTGTTGTTGGGAGTTATTGTTAGCTCTACATTTCTACACGGAACGGTATAATCACTCGACGTGGAAGTTTTGCATTATTTAGAAAATGAATTTATCGAATTCTACGACTCTTTTAATGAAAGCCGAAGAACGAATGTTACTGTAAAATTGCTGTAGCAATTACTTTCTTTGCGTCGTACATTTTCCGTTGCGGCGTTTTCCACTTTCTTAAATAAAATTTATGTCTCCGGGACTGAGAGAAGACAGTCAAGTCGGTAAATTACTTTAAAAACAAGTTTAATGTTCCTAATAAATATTTTCGTTTTATGTCATTAAGAAATATACCTTATAAATATTATACGACAAATGTATTAGATATTATATTGATAAATATATAGTTAATAAATTAATTTTGCAAAATTTTTTCTTTTTTTTAATTTATTATTTCTTTATCTAAATATTTTTTTCAATTAATTATAATTATAGCATAATCGATAATCATCTTATCTTATTTAAATTACACATTAACCTTTACAATTTTGTACATAAGTGGTAAACACTTAGGTAAACAATTAGGTTCTATTACATTTTCCACTTAATTTTATCATAAATATACGAAACTTGTTGGTAACTATTTATAAATTCACACATTCATAGATTATTTTAGGTAAATACATAATTATTTTAATAAGAATATTTGAGAAGCCCTCTGTACGGGGTGGTATAAGAATAGTGGATAAGAATGTAAAGTACGGTATCTCGGAATCTATTCGTCGTAGGTAAACTGTTAGGCGGTCATAATATACAGAGTTGGGTAAAAGTCCGGAATAAAATTATTATCTTTTGAACCAGCAATTTAAACAAAAAACGCCGAAACACGTAAATTGATTTTATATTGTACGGATTTGTTGCCAATAAAATGTTTTTTTTTTCTTCAACCCCTTAGTTGCAACCCTACCCAACTTTATTTTTTCAAATGCAAAGGTATGTCGTGTGTAGGGTCATTGAAAAGCCCGTGAAAAATGGAATCTAAAACATACCTTTTTTTTTTATTTTTCTCATGTTGTTATTTGGAAATGAGCAAAAATTTCTTTTAAAAACAAAAAAGTTACAAATACCTTTTTAGTGCTATCGACGTAGCAATGTTGAAAATGCCCTTCACCATCTATTTGACAGGCTCCCAGGGATTGGTAAAACGTAATATCGATAGCATATCTTTAATTCTGAATGACTTTTTAATAAAAACAGGCGAACCTTTGGTAAAAAAAACTTGTACAAAAATGCAACACCTGTTTTCCTTTTTGAAGTTCACTGATCAATAATGGCTTAGATTTAAACCCATTTTATGTTTTTGTTTTTTCTTAAAACATAAATTTCAACGAATGTTGATGCTAAATTGCCTTATCAGTTTTAAACGGTAAATCAATAAAATTTGGTGTGCTGCCTGACCAGGCTCGCCTGCTTTTAATAAAAGTTCATTCAGAATTAAAGATAGGCTACCGATATTAGGTTTTACCATTGCCTTGGAGCCTGTTAAGTAGAGTAAGCCTTAATTCACACGTCGATACCACTAAAAAAGTATTTGTAACATATTTGTTTTTAAAAGAATTTTTTGTCCATTTCCAAATAACAAAATGAGAAAAATAAAAAAAAAGGTATGTTTTAGATTCCATTTTTCACGGGCTTTTCAATGACCCTACACACGACATACCTTTGCATTTGAAAAAATAAAGTTGGGTAGGGTTGCAACTAAGGGGTTGAAGAAAAAAAAATCATTTTATTGGCAACAAATCTGTCCAATATAAAATCAATTTACGTGTTTCAGCGTTTTTTGTTTAAATTACTGGTTTAACAGATAATAATTTTATTCCGGACTTTTGCCCAACCCTGTATGCATTTTATAAGATAAGATAAGCTTCATTGGAGTAATTTTTGTTCAACACATTTTGACGGCTATATTAAAATAAAGTAGTGAAAGGTGACCTAATTATTCTTAAGATAAACAGCTGTACCTTCTAAAGGACTCAACAGATTTCAATGAATTTGGTCTCACTAGAATGAGACCATATATTTGAGATTAAATATATTTTTTTAGTACATTTACTGGGTGGATTTCAGAGAAAAATCACTTTGAAAATTCAAGATGGCGATTATGCCCCCTGCTATTTATAAAATGTTTATAGACCACCCGGTACATTGTTCATATTGCAAAAATTAAGTCTTATCTTCTTAATTATTATAAGTGTTCGTAACTTATAAAGTTCTTTAATAAGTAGTGTAAGTGCTGGGCCTTATTATTTATGATAATATTATAAACCAATTAGATTTAAATGTTATTTTTTATAGCTGTATAAAAGACCAGTCAAACTTACTTTGTTCAAAATTTTTAAAATTCTTACCAACCTACTGTTTAATATACTTTGTTTTTTATACACACGGTAATATCTAACTTTTTTTATTAAAATCTATCTTAAATTTTTCCAACTTTTCAGAATACACATCTAATAGATGTGTACATATGCATTCCTAGAACAATACATTAATTATAAAAAATATTAAGTGGATGATTTCGAAGCACTTAGTTACAAGGCATTTTTACAAACGCATTTAATCTTATCAATTTAATATATAAGTTTGAACTGTTAAAAGTCTATCACAATTGCTAGAATATTGATTTCAAAGATGAGGCTATTGGTTGTAAGTGCAGCCCTTCTCGTAGGTAACGTACCAAAAATCCTTTTATTTCACTTGAAACTTCATCGTATTACGATTTATTATCCAGTGCACTTTCAAAAATTATTCTTATCATATAAATTAAAAATAAATCGAGCATACAAATTTTCAAATTTCAAATCATCAGCCTTTCCATCATCTCGCTCTCTGCGCGAACTTGAATTTCTCCTGCATTAACCGATTTTTCCAGCTTCGTGCTTTGGGCAAGATTGCCTCAGCAGAGATTTCGGCCAAGGTGGGACAGTTTGCGTTTGCAATGTAGCCCATTGCGATAAGTTCCCGCCGTTGCAGCCAGTTGACCTTGGCCAATATGTAACGTTCGTGTCGAACCAGGAAGGTTTAAGGTTTCAGAAAAAAGTAGGTGAATTCATCAGTGATGATGGACCCACCGCTAATGTTATTCAATTGGGCTCGAACACCTATCAAACTATTATGGGTTTCGGTGGAGCCTTCACAGATTCGACGGGTTATAACATCAAGAACGTTAAAGACCAGTTAGGAGATACATTGATGAGGTGAGTACCTATAAGTTACTAGCGTAATGGTACTAGAATAATAATTTACAGGCAATACTTTGCTGAAGATGGTCTTGAATACAGTATCGGAAGGATTCCGATAGGAGGAACTGATTTTTCATTTAAAGGATACTCCTATTGCGATACTCGTGATGACGTTCCGGATCCAGAATTAAGCTCCTTTAGCTTACAACCCGAAGATTTCGAATATAAAGTAACTTGTAATACGCAATAAGTTTTGCAACAATTAACAATTTCTTTTAGATTCCGTTGATTCGAAAAGCACGCCAACTTAGAAACAATTCACTAGATTTGTTCGGCTCGGCTTGGGTGGCACCTTCGTGGATGAAAACCATTCCAGGGTTCACCTCGAGGAATTCCAGCATCAAATATGAAATGTACCAGGCTTGGGCCGACTATTTAGTGAAATTTTTAGACAGTTACAAGGAGCAAGGAATCGATTTGTGGGGTATAACCACCGGCAACGAGCCTAAAACGGCGTTGAGTAAGACGAAGGTACCTTCGGTAGCTTGGACACCTGATGATATGGTAATTTTACAATCAAATAATTGAATGTTTAGGTACTACCACATCTTTGTTTTGTAGACTAAATGGGTTAGGGAAAATTTGGGACCGGCATTGAGGAAATCAGCCCATTCAGATATCAAACTCATGCTTTTGGATGATCAAATTCCATTTATGAAAGAGATGGCAGACAAAGTAATAATTTTAACATAACATTAGACACATTTTATTGGTTTTATGATTTTTTTTGTAGGTACTTGCTGATAAAACTGCTAATGGTTACATTGACGGTATTGCAACACATTGGTACGCCGATTGGTATGTCGCAGATGCTGCAGAATTATTAGAGGCAGCACACGAGAATTATGCCAATAAATTCATGCTAGCTACAGAAGCGTGCAATGGTAACTAATTAACTTTACCACAATTTATATTTGCATTAATCAAACGTTTTAGGTTACGAGAAGAACGACGTTTTCTTGGGGAGTTGGCATAGAGGTGAAAAGTACGCCGAAACTATAATTAAAGTGAGTTAATAATTCTTGTCAATACTAAGAATAATTAATAAAATTAATGTAATTGCAGTACTTTAATAATTGGATAACCGGATTCGTCGATTGGAACATGGCTCTGAACGTACAAGGTGGCCCAACGTTCATTAATAATTTCGTCGATTCGCCCATCATAGTCAACGCTACTGCTAATGAGTTCTACAAGCAGCCCATGTATTATGCCATTGGTCATTTCTCTAAGGCCATACCCAAAGGGTCCATTAGACAGGAGATAATTCCCTTTAGTGACGACGTAATGGTCACTGCTGCCGCACGACCTGATGGCGGTACCGCCATTGTCATTCTGAACAAGTATATATTTGAAATTTTTTATAGGACATTTTACTCATTGTTTGATTTTCAGGCTAAATGTCGTTGTTGATGTGGCGGTTAGATGCATCGGACGAGGCGATGCACATATTACATTAACTCCTAAATCTTTGACAACTCTTGTATATTGGTAAATAAATTAAATAAAATTGATGGGTACAATGTATTTTTTTACTTATGTCATTGAGATAAATAGATGTAAAGAACGCTACTTTTAGGAATACTTTAAATTATTTCAATTACCTGCACACGTTCAATGATTATTATCGATTTTTAAATCACATTTATTTGGCAATTTGCAGCTTCTTAATTGGTAATAAGTTACATCATCTTCACTTAAACTACTGTTCTTTCCAGAAAAATAGAAAACCGAAGAAAATTTTTCACGTAATTTTTGTAGTTTCTCAGCTCTCCTCGGCTTAAGACTGCCTGAGCAGGGACTTCGGCAACGACGGTACCGTCTGCGTCTGCAATGCGGACCATTGCGACACCCTCGCTCCCATCGCTAAAGTCCAGAAGGGCACATACGCTTCTTTCACGTTGAATCTCGACGGTTTGAGGTTCAAAAATGACGAAGGCAGTCCTCAAGTATTGACAGAGAACGCAACGAATCTGATAAAGATCGGTAAGAAAACCTTCCAGGAGATCCTCGGTTTCAGCGGAGCGTTCACCGACGCAACAGGAATCAATATTAAAAGTTTAAGCGAAGATGTGCAAGATAAATTAATACAGTAAGTACTCGTAGAATTTACGTTTAATTTATAGAGCACAACAATAGTACAATTAAAAATATATTAGTTTCTTACTTCTTTCTGTAACGTGTACATCTAACAAAAAGAAACCTTAATTTTTTTATCTTCAATTCTTCGTTCTAGTTTTTTTTAATTGGAATATCTGGAAAAGTGTTAGATATAGGGAATGGTTATTAAGAATTAAAGTACTTCAAAAATACTTCTTGTTAACGATATAAAAAATATAGGGTGATCCATTTAAAATAACAGAGAAAATGTTACTTTTGCGTTTGGATCCACCCTGTAAGTAGTATGATTAAAATTCACGAAAAATATTCATTTTATACATTTTTAGGATATTTGCAATGTTGTAAAATTTAAAATTTATTTTCAATTCAATCCATTTAGTTTCTACAGAATGGTAAACTTAGTACGATTTTCGTGGAAAAGTGGTCATAACTTTTAAACTACTCAGTATAACGTTATACAAAATTATATTTTTGGAAAGCTGAAGACGAGCTAAAAACAGGGTGTTCCTTTAAAAAAAGTATAAGTTTGATCTAGTACGGAAAAACGGGACACTCTGTATAAATGTAACTAATTTTAAAATATGCAGCTTAAAAAGATCTACAACTTTTGTAATGAGGTTTTTTTGATATCTTCTTTAATAACAGATATATTGAGCTTTTCCATACTAATGTGCCACCCTGTATATATTTCAAGAACAATATATTAATTATAAAAAATATTAAGTGGACGATTCTGAATAATATTTCGAAGCACTTGGTTACAAGTTATTATTACAAACGTATTTAATCTTATCAATTTAATATATAAGTTTAAACTGTTAAAAGCCCATCACAACTGCTAGAATATTTATTTCAAAGATGAGGCTATTGGTTGTAAGTGCAGCCCTTCTCGTAGGTAACGTACCAAAAAAAACCTTTTATTTCACTTGAAACTTCATCGCATTACGATTTATTACTCAGTGCACTTTCAAAAATCTTTCTTATCATATAAATTAAAAATAAATCGAGCATACAAATTTTCAAATTTCAAATCATCAGCCTTTCCATTGCGACATTTTCATCATCTCGCTCTCTGCGCGAACTTGAATTTCTCCTGCATTAACCGGTTTTTCCAGCTTCGTGCTTTGGGCAAGATTGCCTCAGCAGAGATTTCGGCCAAGGTGGGACAGTTTGCGTTTGCAATGTAGCCCATTGCGATAAGTTCCCGCCGTTGCAGCCAGTTGACCTTGGCCAATATGTAACGTTCGTGTCGAACCAGGAAGGTTTAAGGTTTCAGAAAAAAGTAGGTGAATTCATCAGTGATGATGGACCCACCGCTAATGTTATTCAATTGGGCTCGAACACCTATCAAACTATTATGGGTTTCGGTGGAGCATTCACAGATTCGACGGGTTATAACATCAAGAACGTTAAAGACCAGTTAGGAGATACATTGATGAGGTGAGTACCTATAAGTTACTAGCGTAATGGTACTAGAATAATATTTTACAGGCAATATTTTGCTGAAGATGGTCTTGAATATAGTATCGGAAGGATTCCGATAGGAGGAACTGATTTTTCATTTAAAGGATACTCCTATTGCGATACTCGTGATGACGTTCCGGATCCAGAATTAAGCTCCTTTAGCTTACAACCCGAAGATTTCGAATATAAAGTAACTTGTAATACGCAATAAGTTTTGCAACAATTAACAATTTCTTTTAGATTCCGTTGATTCGACAAGCACGCCAACTTAGAAACAATTCACTAGATTTGTTCGGCTCGGCTTGGGTGGCACCATCGTGGATGAAAACCATTCCTGGGTTCACCTCGAGGAATTCCTCCATCAAATATGAAATGTACCAGGCTTGGGCCGACTATTTAGTGAAATTTTTAGACAGTTACAAGGAGCAGGGAATTGATTTGTGGGGTATAACCACCGGCAACGAGCCTAAAACGGCGTTGCTTAAGGAGGAGATACCTTCGGTAGCTTGGACACCTGATGATATGGTAATTTTACAATCAAATAATTGAATGTTTAGGTACTACCACATCTTTGTTTTGTAGACTAAATGGGTTAGGGAAAATTTGGGACCGGCATTGAGGAAATCAGCCCATTCAGATATCAAACTCATGCTTTTGGATGATCAAATTCCATTTATGAAAGAGATGGCAGACAAAGTAATAATTTTAACATAACATTAGACACATTTTATAGGTTTTATGATTTGTTTTTATAGGTACTTGCTGATGAAACTGCTAATGGTTACGTTGACGGTATTGCAACACATTGGTACTCGGATTGGTATGGTGCAGACACTGCAGGATTATTAGATGCGGCACACGAGAGTTATGCCAATAAATTCATGCTAGCTACAGAAGCGTGCAATGGTAACTAATTAAATTTACCACAATTTATATTTGCATTAATCAAACGTTTTAGGTTACGAGAAGAACGACATTTTCTTGGGGAGTTGGCATAGAGGTGAAAAGTACGCCGAAACTATAATTAAAGTGAGTTAATAATTATTGTCAATACTAAGAATAATTAATAAAATTAATGCAATTGCAGTACTTTAATAATTGGATAACCGGATTCGTCGATTGGAATATGGCTTTGAACGTACAAGGTGGCCCAACGTTCATTAATAATTTCGTCGATTCGCCCATCATAGTCAACGCTACTGCTAATGAGTTCTACAAGCAGCCCATGTATTATGCCATTGGTCACTTCTCTAAGGCCATACCCAAAGGGTCCATTAGACAGGAGATAATTCCCTTTAGTGACGACGTAATGGTCACTGCTGCCGCACGACCTGATGGCGGTACCGCCATTGTCATTCTGAACAAGTAAATATTTGAAATTTTTTATAGGACATTTTACTCATTGTTTGATTTTCAGGCTAGATGTCGTTGTTGATGTGGCGGTTAGATGCATCGGACGAGGCGATGCACATATTACATTAACTCCTAAATCTTTGACAACTCTTGTATATTGGTAAATAAATTAAATAAAATTTATGGGTACAATGTATTTTTTTACTTATTTACTTATTGAGATAAACATATGTAAAGAACGCTACTTTTAGGAATACTTGGTAAATAAAATTGATTACGCTTATCGATAAATTATTTCAATTATCTGCACACGTTCAATGATTATTATCGATTTTAAAATCACATTTATTTCGAAATGATTGTGTTGGTGGCAATTTGCAGCTTCTTAATTGGTAATACGTTACATCATCTTCACTGAAACTATTTTTCCTCTTAGAAAAATAGAAAAGCGAAGAAAATGTTTTACATGATTTTTTTCAGTTTCTCAGCTGTCCTCGGCACAAGACTGCCTGAGCAGAGATTTCGGCAACGACGGTACCGTCTGCGTCTGCAATGCGGACCACTGCGACACCCTCGCTCCCATCGCTAAAGTCCAGAAGGGCACATACGCTTCTTTCACGTCGAATCTCGACGGTTTGAGGTTCAAAAAGGACGAAGGCAGTCTCGAAGCATCGACAGAGAACGCAACGAATCTGATAAACATCGGTAAGAAAACCTACCAGGAGATCCTCGGTTTCGGCGGAGCGTTCACCGACGCAACAGGAATCAATATTAAAAGTTTAAGCGAAGATGTGCAAGATAAATTAATACAGTAAGTACTCGTAGAATTTATGTTTAATTTACAGAGATGCAATGTTTAATTTATAGAGCATATTTCTCGGAAAACGGTTTGGAATACAATATTGGTAGAGTTCCAATTGGAGGAACCGATTTCTCATTGGAAGGATACTCCTACTGTGACACCGAAAACGATACAGCTGATCCACAATTAACCCAATTCAACTTAACATCGGCCGATCATGATTACAAAGTAATTACACTCACAACAATAGTAAACCATTAAAAATATATTAATAATTTTCTAGATTCCATTCATCATTAAAGCTCTTGAATTGACCAACAATAAACTAGATTTGTTTGGTTCTGCTTGGATAGCCCCGAACTGGATGAAAACCATTCCTGGATTTTTGGCTCGAGATTCTTTTATTAAAGACGAGTTTTACCAAGCCTGGGCGGATTATTTTGTGAAATTCCTCCAAGCTTATAAAGAACAAAACATTCCTTTTTGGGGTATAACCACTGGTAACGAACCTCTTACAGCTTATGGTCAGAAAAAAATTCCATCTGTAGCCTGGAACGTTGAACTAGCGGTATGTTTGAATAGATTTGCAAATCGATTTTCTACACTTAAAGTTTTTGTAGAAAAAATGGATTAAAGAAAACCTTGGCCCAGCATTGAGAAAATCCGAATTCTCCGATATCAAATTGATGATGCTCGATGATCAGAGATTACTATTACCTAGCGCAGCCAACGAGGTACGCGCCTTTCTGTTTTCATCTTTATCGATATTTTTATAGCTTAATGAATATATTTCAGTTACTCGATGATAAAGAAGTTGATAAGTACGTAGATGGTATAGCTGTACACTGGTATTCGGACTGGATAATATCAACGAAAAATCTAGATGACACTAACGATAATCATCCAGAAAAATTCTTATTAGCTACAGAGGCCTGTAATGGTAGGGATACCAATTTGCACAGTTTCTTTTTAATTGCTCCAAATTTTCGCAGGATATATGTTCAACGATGTGTTAATAGGAAATTGGGATAGAGGAGAAGCGTACGCGAAAAGTATTATAGAAGTAATTAATCTTATTTTCATAAAGGAGTATATATGAGTTATACAAAAATATTTCTAGGATTTAAACCACTGGGTAACGGGATGGACCGATTGGAATATGGCTCTAAATGTTGATGGTGGACCAACATTCATCAACAACGTGGTTGATTCTCCTATTATAGTGAACGCAGCCGCTAATGAATTCTACAAACAACCGATGTATTACGCTCTGGGTCATTTTTCTAAGTTCATTCCCAAAGGATCGCTGAGACTGGAATCCTCTTCGTTCGATGACCAAGTTAACGTAGGAGCTTATAGGAGACCTGACGGTGGAACAGTCGTGGTGGTTTTGAATAAGTAAGTTGAACTCGAAGAATTGTGATTAAATTTAAGTGGAATTTTTTTATTTTAGGGATACCGAAGCTAAAAATGCAACGATAAGAGATGCATCAAACAGTAAAGATATCGAGATTGCTTTATCGCCCAAATCAATAACTTCGCTTGTATTTTGGTAAAGTAAAATAGCGGTTTGAATTGTATTTTTGTTTTATTTATACCTAATATCTATTAAATGAGGAGGAATTTAAAAATAATGAGCTGTATGATGCAAGCGACTTATTCAAACAACTATAGATAATGGAAAATTTCTCTGTTACCTATGTGGATTTTTTAAATCATTGAATAAAAAATTTCATGTGCCTGTGGTTATTTTCTAGCAATGAAGCGCCTACAGGAATTAACATGAATAATGAAATACACGAATATATTTTCATGCACGTTTTACAAGCTCTATTTTTTTAAATCAATCATCGTTAACAAAATATATAGTATAATAACAAAATGAATCTATTAACATTGTTATAAAATATCATTTAGAGGTATTATTCAAACAATTTTCCCTTGAGGTATGAGTATGTTATTTTATTAATTACAAACAATAACTGTATTATTTTACATTCAGTTAATGAACTCATCGTAGTGATGGAAACATCTTTCTACTTTATACGTACATTGAAATCGATTTTTATGAACTGAAACGAGAGAACCTGTCTCGAGCTGTAAATAAATTTCTTTTTGAATTCTCCAGGTGACTCGAGCCGGAGCCCGTTTTTAAACTCCACTACAGATAAACGTTCGTATCGCGAGTTATTTCCGGTTAACAATAATGCCAGGATAAAGGTGATTTCGTGTCGCATTGCATTCCAGCGCGCTGCAGCATCGAAAATTAGATTGGAGAAAATATCAGATTTTCGAAGTCGTTTTACTAAAGTTTCGAGTTTATTAAGGATTACCTCAACGTCGGAGTGTTGTAAACGGATTTTTGCTAGTAAATTTAATATCAACTTACACAGCATAATTGTTTAATATTTGAGGAAACTTGGATTAAGTATCTACGAAGATGACTGTGTAAAGCGGACGGCGAAAATCCGTTTAAAAGACGTATTAAAACCTGTTTTAACATTTTAAATATGAAAAATGAATTGACCATTTCAGAAATTAGCCGAGGGAATAGGGAGAGTTGAATATTAAGCGAGAGAGAAATGGAGTGAAGGGGGGTCTTCCGGTTATACGACTTAAAGGGTTTTCCCTAAAAACGTTAAGAAGGATTCGTGGGAAGCGGCGGCTGTTTAAACGTCGAATTCCACTTTTTCGCATTCTCGCGGAAACACCGCATTCATTAAAATTGAAATTTAAATTAAAATTTAAATTTAAATTAGAACCGATGGCGTAAAACGCTTTATGTTAAAAAGTAGATTTTATTTATACAGGTCGAACATTTTCCTCAATATTCACCAACTTATAATAGATTTTTAATGATCTAACAGTAATTCATAAAAAAAACAACAAAGTTAACAAAATTAAGTAACCTCATATACCTATTTTAAATCATAAAATTTTTAGAACCTATCAAATTTGTAAGATTACTAAATTTTCTATAAAACTCCAATATCTAATCCTTATTGATATTTTTTCATATCTTCAAGATATAATCACCTCCTTTATACCCAACCCAAGAAGACCTTCATCCCCGGTAATCCTTATATAACATCTTGCTGGGATCCCTTTCAACAGCAGATCCTTAATACCGTTGCAATATCCAATATGTCAGCGACTTTGTACATCCAAAAGTTAATCAACTCAATTAGGATATCCTCGAGGTAGGTTATCGATTACAACTTTTCATCTAATCACCCTGCGTGCTCTATTTATAAGAGGAGTAAATACCGGCCACCGCAAAGGACGCGGACGGGAGGAAATTAATAACGAACATATACATATGGGGAGGTTGGAATTAATTATATGCAAACCAGAAATCCGACGAAATAGTACACAATGCAAATTCGCAGCGCACACGGCGAGAGAATGTATTGTTGGATCAGAAACTGAATGCAGTTATGTTTCGTTTGTCGGGTACTCGCGACTCGGGGACTCCTGCTGACTTTTCATCAAACAATCCTCCAAAATTGCAAAGCCATCTACGACTTGAAATTTGAAATACCCTATATAGCTTTCTCGACGATTCAATTTGCTCCGTCAACCACAAAAACACCAGTTTTAATACCCAGTACATTTGAAAAACGTTAATTGAATTGTTGTTTCATCTACAATATGGCCATATCTAGTGAAATTTCATTAAATCTAGTCGAATTTTAGATGAAAATCTGATACGCCGTCGCCTCAGGATACGCCCAATGAATAAAGTATCTGATACCGGAGACTCGACGTGCAGATACAATACAATTTGTCACTCTCTTATCATAACAAAAGTCATACCAGGCTAAAAAACTGGTTTATTTTCGTTTCTGGTGTTCTCCATCTCGGCGGAAAATTTAAATAATCGAATCCTTCGGCGTTTCTCCGGCGACTTTCGGCGCCGTAAGCTGCTCGCGATTCCGCCGCGCCATCGACAACAATATTATTTCTATCGGGAAATTTGAATACGGAAAACAAGACATCTGTACGTACGACGTTGTAAAGATGTCGAGGTTTCTCCCACGTTGCTCCATAAGCATAAATAGCACAACACCAAAAGAGTAGAGCAACAATGGTGCCGGCAAAAATTAAGTGCAAATTGGATAGTTATATTTCATTCGAAAGTTAATTAATTCTTATTGATCTTCCTACAAATCAAACGTATTAAAGTGTTTACCTTCATCTCTTACTCCTTGAAAAACTCTCCATTCTGTTTATATTAAGATAAAAACCATTCTCATCTTCAAACAACTTCCGGCCTCCTAAAGACAATATAATTACATAATTCAGAGTTATCCCGGAATTATTTCGAAACAATCGGATCTCGTTTCTTTGAACTCGACCGGGATATTTCCTTTGATACCGGCGACGTCATCGCCGGGGCGCTCGATGCCTCTCTTGGGATATTCACATTCAGCGAAAGAGAAAACGGTTTTCAAGAGAGAATTAGATCAGAATTAGTCCATTCCCGGCCGTTTGTTTGCGCAAACAAGACCTGACTTGTCAAGTTCCATCGTCGAAATAACGGGATTTCAATTTATTCGCAAACGAGCGTTGAAACCGCGCCATCCCTGCGACTAAACAAAACAACGAATGAATAACAACCACTCTGATACACCAGGCGATACGAAACGAAACGATGGGAATTATTCGAGACGTGACGACTTGCACGTTCTGACAGAAGATTCCGTGAGTATTCTCCAACCGCCGGAATTTCTGCACTTAATTGAATGCTTAACTACAAAAATTGATTGAATGAATTCTAACCCATTCCATGTTAAGCTAGGCAGTCTGGTACCAATTTAAATTGAATATTAGCTTAGCTACAAGAGCATTACAGTTGTCTTGTTTGTGTACATCGATTTAGAGCGCTCTAATCGGCCTACAGGTCGACGGAAACATCATTAGATAATTCGACTGGACCTTTATTAGATCATACAAACGCGCCGATTTGATGCAACGTTTGTTACATCGAGAGCCATTTTGGTCGTTCGGATCCTTTCAGGACTATTAGGATAACGTATTTAGGTCGTTAACCAGTTATTAGCGAATCGTTAGTATAAAATGCACAATTCTCTCGTGACACAGCAATTTCGGAAGAATCGCTTACACTCCATAATTCGCAGGTGCGGCTGATGATAGTTTAATCAGCTATCATTTTTCATACGCAATTTCACTTCAAACTGATTAATCTGTAGATACTCCAAATTATCTAGTAGATATCTATTAAAAATATTTTTATTTGCGCAATTTTTGCTTTGATGGTTTCAAGGATCCATAAAAATTATGACTGGGAACGTCGTATTTGCCTATATTGGTATATTTTAATATATCTAATGTAGGAGCACACTCTAAATCGTTTCAAAAGAGGAAACCAATCACATATGGTACGAATTCAGGATACGGGAAAAAAAGGGAGGCGACAAAAGGATTCCGAAAATCCCGTTACAAGTATATACATTTTCTCTTCGGGAAAAGGAGGAAAGAAAAAAGGAGTGCCAGGAAAAGGAATATTTCGCGCGACGTCGCTTTCAATAGATATTAAGTTCGTCATCGGGAACCGGTTATTTCGCATTTATCCCGCCGACGCGCCGTGAGAAAAGAGCACATGTGGTGTATATAAGAGGTAAGGTATATTACTTTTCCTGAAAATGGATATTCCTGTTGGAGAAACTGGGGGGGCGCAAGTAGCGACGAGAGAGTTTATCGAAGTCAAGTTGCCCTTTTTATGACTTCATTCAATCCGCATGGGAATGTCCTATCAGCATAATTTAAAACTGATTGATTAAGGATCATCATGGAAAAACTTTCAAATCACTTCATTAAACATCCTGTCCTTTTAAACCAGCAGTTACCAATGGGTTTGCAAATCGAACCGACACTTATGTATACATATTTAGGTATATGTGTGTATAATTTTATGCGAATCTCGGCACGGGGAAAGGCCATTTGGTATGTCGTTGGATAACTTTATAACAGAAACCCATTAGCAAATCAAATTAGAAAACGAAAAGCCCTCCGGGGAGATGGAGAGAGAGAATGCTCGCTGTATCTTAATCGCGCGATATCAAATACGTTGATTTCCATCTACGCAGCGGTTTCCTCGAGGCTTTTCCGCTTCGCTATATGTGTTTTGATCCGCAAATTTGCGAAATTATAATTAGCCCGTTTCTTTTCCACATTAAACCTGCACCAACTTATACACAAGCAAACATATAAAATTACATAATTACCTACTAACTCGAAACGGCCGAGTAAAATTTTAACGTATCCAATAAAAATTTACAACGTCTATAAATTATCTCGCCCTGTATTTAGCGCGATCGAGCTGAAATATTCGCATTAGAGTTTCCTAAATTTAATAGTCATTCCATAAGTGAATATTCTCATATGCCTTTCATATTCGAGTCGAATGCGCGACGTTTTCCATTCCGCCTCAGTTTTGAGTCATTTACGTGCATTATTTATTATCCGGCGAAAGCTTCGGCTTTATGACCGGTTGCAAAAAGCGGTTTATGTCGAAAGCCGAGTCGATCTCACCTCTGTCTAACAGCCAGTTTCGT